GAATCGTTCGGCACAACGGGCTCCTGACTGAAATGGGATGGAGAGCCCTCCGTTGGGTATCGGTGCCCTGCCTGACAAAGGGCCTTCCATTATCGCGTTGTGGACTCACATCGTTAACTCCCATCGCCACGTTCGCAGTCAGAGGGCCTCAACCAACGCAGGGACCCCTGGCTTTCCGGGTCCCGTCCCAGTCCGTGTCCGACGGATGTCGCGATGGCCGACTCGAGGCCCCTTGCTAACATTGGGTGCTCGTTCAGGCACTGTGGGTCTCTGACCAACAAAGGATCACTCATTGCTTCAAAGGTGCCGACCAATGCAAACATTGTGTCCCCTCCTTGTCCCTGCTAAGCAAATGGGCCCCTCAGGGATCAGACCGACGCGGAGCCGATCTCTCGGTGTTGGCGGTCTGTGACCAAAATAGAGACCCGCATTGTCCCAGGGTGTCCCCAACCGGTGCAAGAAGCCCTGTATCTGACATTTGATGGCCCGGCCCTGCTTTCGTGTCCTCCAATCGGGCACTTATTATCGGTTCCGAGGGGCCCATTGGCTCTTCTGCACGCCCCGCGAGCACTGTCTCAGGCCGACTCTAGCGCCTTGTCAGTACCGGACCGTTGTTAAGCACTGTGGTCCCCTGGCTGATACGGGAGCTACATTGACTTCGGGGCCCCGACCAATGTAAATCGTGAATCTCGGCCCTGTGTTTGCTTGGTAAATGGTTCCTAAGCCCCAGACCTGATCCGGAGCACAATCTGGTAATGAATCTTTCGCGTGTCGCGGTCGTTAGGACTCTACCATAGTAACGGGTTTCGCAAATTGAGACTGTTGAGGACGAGCGGGAAAGGCTAGCGCCAAATACGTTAAAATTACGCTACCTTCCGGTTTCTCGTCTCGGCGAAAGATGTCGTTCGGCATCAGTAAAATTTGGTTTGGCGTCGATCGTCGAAACCAGGTTCCGGTAGTCGACGCAGAATCGACGATATGTGGCTTCACACGTTGTTGGGCGTGTATGACCGCGGGAGCGAAGAGTGCGGGTTGATTTGTGCGACTAATAATGTCTGCCGTGTAAATCCCGGTTGATTGCAGCAAGGCGGGGTGCAGGTGCATCACTCCCATTAGGCGTGTTCGACACGGCGAGTGTCCTTGGTATGGTCGGACGGTTACCGCCACCGGTTCAGTCGGCTGATGTCGATCGCCAGGTCTTTGCAGCTGTTTCATCGAACATTCATGTTGAAGCGAAGGTTGACACATTTCAAGATTTCTTTCGAAAGTGGACGGCTCATAACTTTATTAACGCTTTGTTTTCGTTTTCCGATAAGACGTCATAGCAAACAGCGCAACTTGCTCTATAACGTAAACGTCACCTGATAGCCCCAAAACACTCCTTTAATAGCACAAAACTAGTCTATAGTCAGTCATAAATTTAAATCGTGCAGTTCAAAACTTGCAGCATACAGGAAACAAAAACATAAGAAACAATTTTTTTAATAAACACTGTTCTACCGCGGAGGTTTAAAAGTGTGACTAACTCAGTCTCTAACTCCAAGTGTGCATGCAAAGAAATTCAAGCAAATAGGCTCCCCGCATCACGCTTCATTCAAACATGCAAGTGAGTTGAAGTAAACAGGATCAGTTATACATGCAAGCGATTTCAATTAACATGCATCGTGCACCACCCTCAGGCATCACTTACACATGTGAACGACATTAAGCTAGCGCACATCACACGTAAAGGCACATACCACGTTCGCATAATCGGCCATAATGAGCCATGTCGTGAAGATTTGATCTCCGACTTTTTATGAGAATAGATTCACTTATTTCCCTGTCTGGTTGGCCCCGTGTTTTGTAAATGGCTTTGGGCTCCGAAAGGGGCAAAGGGTTCATACCTCCCTCGATTTCAACCTGTGTGTGTTTTGCCAAAAAATGGTCACCGAAAGGGATATTCCCTGTTTTGTTTTCAACGTCCCGCACGTGTTCATTGTACCTCAAACGAATAGGGCGCATGAACTCCATGACATATGCCATGTCCCTCCCATGTTTTCACGCAGTTTACACTTGCTTTCAAATCACGTGTTCTTGCGTACAAAGCCCTTGAAACCCAGAAGTGCGCAAATGACATCTTTTGCCCCCGGGAACTTGGGCTTCGAGATGAAACATTTCACCAGAAACTTTTTAGCTTATTGTCGCCCTTCCAAGCTATGAGTATGCGCGGGTTTGATTTTTTAACAGTTAGATTTCCCAAACCAAATGCTTATCTATGTCAGGTGGTATTAAGAATCCGTCTTCCGACAGGACGTGTTCCCGCCTCTAGACCCATTCCCGCGCTCTAGACTTTTTCACTTCTTCTAACATTCTACCTAAAAGTCACGGAGAATGTCTTGCTCAACAGCAAAGCCCATACTTGGTTTATGCTCTTTCTTGCCTGTTCACTTCTTTTGAGTTGCTTATAGCCTAGTGGAGGATGTTACAGATTATGCTGTACTTATTGGAAGTTTGGATGCACAGATTCGCGGTGCAGAATCGTACCAGAACTGGTGGGCTTGATAAAGAGCTCCGTTTCTAACGTTGTGCGGTGGTTCCTCCTTTCCACCGTCACCAGTGTGTCTAAATATGGGACCCCCTTTCCGTCCCCTGTATTCTCCATCGTAAAAGCTAGATTCGGGTGCTGGCTGTTCATGAACTCTAAAAACTTTCCAGGGGCACGCTGTCCATGCGTCCATACCTCAGCATAATCATCAATGTAATCAACTAAGAAAGTTGGTTTTAATGGGCTGGTGTCCAGGGCCTTCGTTTCAAATTGATCTAAAAATATTATCGCCGGAGGAGGAGGACATGGGTTCCCTAATGTTATTCCCACTTTTTGTCTGTAGAAGTCATCTCCGAACGAGACAACATTATCCTGGAGGCACTGTTCTAAAAGACGGCAATTTCGGTCTATCAAAAAATCGTCTTTTGATAGACTGAAAGCATCAGCGTCATGGAAATGTTGGCCTAATTTAGCTTTTACGGCAGGGGTAGCCTCATTGATTGGTATATTGCCATATAAATTGAAAACATCTACACTGGTGAAAATATTGCCATTTGGTAACCCTTTGCCTGCGAAAGAAAAACCTTTTTTTAAAAAGCCTCTGGTGTCCCACAGGTGAGTGGGAACAGCCTCAAGAGTTGGCTGAGTATTTTCTAAAACAGATACGAACGTTTTTCTGTGTGACCACCACACACAGATATCACAGGTCTAAGGGGCACTCCAGGTTTGTGGTCTTTGGGCATCCCATAGAATACAGGTGTTCTACTGTGTCAAGTCTCAAATCTTTGATGGGTTTGTCCGAAAATTTTCCGCTAACTGCACTCCTTTTTGTTTATGACCTATTTCTCCGAGGAATAAGGCTATTGCCACTGTCTTATCTATCTATAAAACATTCCCTGTAACGCAAAATTGAGCCTCCTGATCTAGAGCATGGGCTATCCATGCTCTGGAACATAAAGATGGCCTGGTGATGCAGAGAACGGCCTGACTTGACGCAGAAAATGGTCTTCTGGGCCTGACTTTTTACCCTCTAATTCAGCTATGGGGCTCCTTGATGCGAACTTTGGTAATCTGTGGGCAGCTGCAAAACATATAGTCCGGGCAAAAGGAGCCTCCCAGAAATTTGAGGAGCCAAAAACACACTCTTGTTCCCTCCCCTCTCCAATCCCCCTGCTGCGTCGCCTTGACAGTGCAGCGGCACCGTTCCCCCGACGTCAGAAGCATTAGACCTCGTGCTGTCGCTCAAGGTGATTCTGGACATAGCGCGGGATTGAGAGGCTGTCTGCGGGACGGCATCGGCAGCGTGGAAATAGCCGCACTCAAACCAAATTGGGACTCTAGTTCGGTATGTTACTGTCTGACCTTTTCCCAAACTATGTGCCGACCTTCCACGGCCATGTAATCTTGGAAAGCACAACCCTTTTGGGAGAGGCTCGACCTGCGGCCGATGATTCACCCCGGCTTACTGATTGCGGCCGTTGATTTATCCCGGCTTACTGATTTTGTGAGGCCGATATTATTTACACATATATCACTGCTGCTTTCCACTTATACAACCGTAAGGCGGACAGACGTACCTTCAATCAGTGATATATATATATATATATATATATATATATATATATATATATATTCCGTATAGCTAGTATCGTGGGGCTGTAACCCGTCGAAAGTCGCCACCGGCGCGCTGCAATAGAATGATTTGGTCGAGGCCGAGATGTCCAGATTAGGCGAACTGGCGTACCTGCGATGGCATTGCACTGTCTTTTTAATCAGCCCATGCCATGCTGAGAATCGAAGCAATTATTTCAGGTAATAGCCGTTAATCCAGCCAGGGAGTTCTACGCTATTTTGTGTTAATAAACATTTTCAAAGAATTGCGTTCTTTTCAGTTCAGTTCTTGTTCCAATTCAGTTCTTCAAAATTTAGTTCTTGAACCAACGAATCTAAGATGCCAGCAATAATGTTGTTAAGTAATGGTGGCGTGTACTACCTACCCTTGGGCACCAAGCATACCGAACGGCTTGAGGTAGGCAGCCTGAAATAAGCGCCCTGACTAGCGCTGCTTGCCATGATCGAGGCCCATGTTCACCGTGGTCTTGATGCGGTTAGACTGCTCTGTTTCGGAACCAGCTGTCCTGCATGCGGCGTATGACGGCTTAAAACTGATGCTTAGCGTCAGGCTCTGGGTCTGCTAGAAGCTTTGTGGCGGTGGGCATGACAGGATCACCAATCATCATGTGATTTATGAACCACGCTATCCCGTTAGCCTAAACGCCTGGCGTTTCAGATGATGCTTGTGGTTTGGCTTGTGCAATGCCACGGATGCTGTCATGTGCGGCGTGCTGTCTCTCCAAGCGGACGACTGACTCGCTGGAGCGAAACACCGGGTTTCAGCTGGCACCCGGCTGAGCTCCCGGCCGTGTGCGTCTGACCGCCACGCGGCTAATATATGGGCACCCTCTCCCCGCAGAGTACATATCCCACAACGGCCGGCTGCGTGAGGACGAGGCGCAGAAGAAGTTCTCGCAGATCGCGTCGGCGGTCGACTACTGCCACCGGCGCGGCATCGTCCACCGCGATCTTAAGGTGCGCGCGCACGGAGGGAGGCCGGCTGATGCCGCTGTCCCGCTGACGCTGCCGACCCCGCTGACGTCGCCGGCCCCGCCGACACTGCGGACTCCCCTGACGCTGCCGGCCCCGCTGACGCTGCCGGCCCCGCTGACGCTGCCGGCCCACTGACGCTGCCGACCCCGCCGACATTGCGGACTCCCCTGACGCTGCCGGCCCCGCTGACGTCGCCGGCCCCGCCGACACTGCGGACTCCCCTGACGCTGCCGGCCCCGCTGGCGCTGCCGACCCCGCCGACACTGCGGACTCCCCTGACGCTGCCGGCCCCGCTGACGCTGCAGACCCCCGCCGACACTGCGGACTCCCTGACGCTGCCGGCCCCGCTGCCGCTGCCGACCCCGCCGACACTGCGGACTTCCCTGACGCTGCCGGCCCCGCTGACGCTGCCGACCCCGCCGACACTGCGGACTCCCCTGACGCTGCCGGCCCCGCTGACGCTGCCGACCCCGCCGACACTGCGGACTTCCCTGACGCTGCCGGCCCCGCTGACGTCGCCGGCCCCGCCGACACTGCGGACTCCCCTGACGCTGCCGGCCCCGCTGGCGCTGCCGACCCCGCCGACACTGCGGACTCCCCTGACGCTGCCGGCCCCCGCTGACGCTGCCGCCCCGCGACACTGCGGACTCCCCTGACGCTGCCGCCCCGCGGACGTCTGCCGACCCCGCCGACACTGCGGACTTCCCTGACGCTGCCGGCCCCGCTGACGCTGCCGACCAACGCCGACACTGCGGACTCCTCCTGACGCTTTGCCGGCCCCAGCTGAACGCTGCCGACCCCCGGCCGACACTGCGGACTTCCCTGACGCTGCCGGCCCGCTTGACGCTGCCGAACCCCGCCGACAACTGCGGAACTTCCCTGACGGCTGCCGGCCCCAGCGGACGTCGCCGGCCCCGCCGACACTGCGGATCTCCCCTGACGCTGCCGGGGCCCCGCTGGCCTGCTGCCGACCCCGCCGACACTGCGGACTCCCCTGACGCTGCCCGGCCCCGCTGACGCTGCCGACCCCCCCGCCGACACTGCGGACTTCCCCTGACGCTGCCGGCCCCCCTGACCGCCCTGCCGACCCCGCCGACACTGCGGACTCCCTGACGCTGCCGGCCCCGCTGACGCTGCCGACCCCGCCGACACTGCGGACTTCCCTGACGCTGCCGGCCCCGCTGACGTCGCCGGCCCCGCCGACACTGCGGACTCCCCTGACGCTGCCGACCCCGCCGACACTGCGGACTTCCTGACGCTGCCGACCCCGCCGACACTGCGGACTCCCCTGACGCTGCCGGCCCCGCTGACGCGCCGGCCCCGCCGACACTGCGGACTTCCCTGACGCTGCCGGCCCCGCTGGCGCCGCCGGCCCTTGCTGACGCCGTCGCGAGCACAGCTGCTATCGCGCGGGATCGCTGCCGCCGCGGGCGCGCTGCCGCCGCGGGCATCGCTGCCGCCGCGGGCATCGCTGCTGTCCGTCGCTGCTCGCTGCCGCCGCGGCATCGCTGCTGTCGCGGACATCGCTGCCGCCGCGGGCGCGCTGCCGCCGCGGCATCGCTGCCGCCGCGCGCGGGCGCGCTGTCGCCGCGGGCAAGCGCTGCCGCCCGTGGGCGCCGCGGGCATTGTCGCGGGCGGCCGCGGACTCTGTCGCGGGCATCGCTGCCGCCTCGGGCATCGCTGCCGCCGGCGGGCCAATCGCTGGCCCGCCGCGGGCATGCTGCCGCCGCGGGCATCGCTGGCCGCCGCGGCGCGCTGGTCGCCGGGGCATCGCTTGCCGCCGGCGGGCTCGCTGCCTCCGCGGGGCGCGCTGCCGCCGCGGGCCGCGCTGCCCGCCGCGGGCATCGCTGCCGCCGCGGGCATCGCTGCTGTCGCGGGCCATCGCGGCCGCCGCGGGCGCCGCTGCTGTCACGGGCATCGCTGCCGCCGCAGCATCGCCGACCGCCGCGGGCGCCGCTGCCGTCGCCGGGCCTCCGCCGCTGCTGTCGCGGTGCTTCCGCTTCTGCCGCGGGCCGGCCCTCTTGCACGGGCAGCTTGCCGATGCCGCTGGGCGCCAGCCGGGGTCGAGGCCTCAGAGCTATCGTGTCGGTGGACCGTTGGGCAGATTTGCAAGGAAGAGAGCGCTATGATTTTCAGCTTTCGGTGCATTGTGGGCTCTTCTCCTGTGGGGAGGATAGTCACGGGGGCCCGCCCTCCAGATAGAAAGGCAGGCCCACCCATAACGCTGACGTTCACTCTCCTCTCAAGCGCTGCGGTCTCGCTGTGACCTGTCGGGTAAGGCGTTTTGAGAAATGCACCAAGCTGTTCCGTAACCCAGTAAAAGCTTTGCTTTTTGTCTAACAAAATGCAAAGCTTTAACATCATTCATGCTCGGGAACGGCGATGATTTTAATCGGATGTTTGTGATGAGGCATGTATAGTGCCTTGACATATATGTGTTGACGGGTCTCTTTGCTCAGGCTCGTTGTCAGTTCATGAGGTCCAGTTCCCGTGCAGTGCGCTGTTGCAATGGGTCCATCTTCACAACCGGCATGTACGCTTGCGACACCCACCGACCTTCGAGGTCGCGTGTCTAAAGTAAACAATATAACGGTATGGCCGCGAATGTGGCAAATATGACGTGACCCTCGCGGTGGCAGAGGCGTCGGGCGAGGCGATATGTCTGTTGGTGTTCCGTGTCACGCAGCCGGCGCAGACGGTGACCTGCGCCCTCTATGCCGGCAGGTGGAGAACCTTTTGATAGACGCGGGCGGTCAGATAAAGATCGCCGACTGGGGCTTCAGCACCTTCTTCCAGCGGGGTGGTGCGCTGACCACCTGGTGTGGCTCACCGCCGTACGCGGCGCCCGAGGTCTTCGAGGGCAAGGTGTACACCGGCCCCGAGATCGACATCTGGGTAAGAGGCGCGCCGCCCCGCCGGCCCTCGGCCAGTATGGCGTCTGTAGCCGTGCGAAGAACGTCACGCACGGTCAACACTTCTCTGTGGGGGCATTTACATGTGGAAAGAATGGCGCAGGCTATAGCGGTGACCTTGCTGCCTTCTGATTGTGGTCCCATTCGCTTGATATGGTGGAGTCTCACTATCCGCTTGTTCGGGATGAGAGCGTGTCAAGCTGTATAGACTGTACTGCGCACTGTAAAGCGATACCGTTGACCTTTTGCTATACTCAAACATCTAACATGTTTACAAAACTAAACCTTCGTTTATGCTTGAAAGCAAGTGGAGGCTGCTCTTGAACCTGCATTGGCAATTTTTTTACTATATAAGCGGCCATGATATATTGATTTTCAGTGCCCCATTTTCGGGCCATTTGGTTTAATAGTTGTTCGTCCGCACACCCTCAAGTTCTGAGTGGATGTATCAATACGAAGTGAACTATTGTTGCTCAGGTAATGGATGATTGATTGGTCATGACATCAAATATCGAGGCCACAGCACCGATTACATAGCCTTTTCATGGCATCGTTCTGAAGATCTGGGTTAGCATTAACAAAGGTGTTGCGATGATATGCCCGATTCAGGTCGGTCCTGCACGTCCTGTGCTTGTCCTTCCACCCAGTCTGCACACCGTCTTGGCCGTCTTGCGCCGACTGTTTCCCGCACAGCCCAGGCATCGTGCCGTGCTCTCCGTCCCCGGCCGCATCTCTGCAGCGTGTTCACGGCGTCTCCGCGCCCCTCTGTCCTGCAGAGCCTGGGAGTGGTGCTGTACGTGCTGGTGTGCGGCGCGCTGCCCTTCGAGGGCAGCACACCGTGCAGGCGCTGCGCGAGGACGGCGTTGCTGTCCGGCCGCTTCCTGATCCCGTTCTTCATGTCGACAGTGTGAGCGGCGCCGCTGTGGCCGCCGGAGGTGACGCCGAGTGCACTCTCGGGCAGTGACGACAGCCAGCTGGCCGGCCGCTGGGCGCCTGCAGCACCCCGGCAGCCGCTGCCGGCCGCTGCGCGCCTGCAGCACACCCGGCAGCCGCTGGCCGGCCGCTGCGCGCCTGCAGCACCCGGCAGCCGCTGCCGGCCGCTGCGCGCCCGCAGCACCCCGGCAGCCTGTGCTGCTCTCGGCAGACGACCTCTCTGTTGTCTGACAACCTCTCTCCATGTAACTTATGGGTTGCGGTCGACGCCGTGTAGTGCTCTTATGAAGCGTGTGATGCTGTTTTTTCGGATTATCCCATTGCTTTGGCCATGAGTACCGTCTCAGTGACGACAGCGCGGCAATTTCGTTGAGTGATATGATGAAGTCATCGCGCGACCGGCAATCACAATCGGAGGCCGAATTACCCACACATCACTCGCCGTATACCCAAGCGCCACCATCACTCGCCGTATACCCAAAGGCCACGTCACTCGCGGTATACCCAAGCGGCCACCATCACTCGCGGTATACCAAGCAGCCACCATCACTTGGAGTTAATACCCAAGCGGCCACCATCATCGCCGTCTACCCAAGCGGCCACTATCACTCGCAGTAAACAAGCGGCCATCATCACTCGCGGCATACCCAAGCGGCCACTATCAACTCGCCGTAATAGAGGCTTATGGAAATCCGTGTTCGATCAGCCAGCTATTTCTGGCGGCCCCAGACACCACGTGTCGGATCTGTGACGTATCTTACTGTTCGCAATCAATGATCAATGGATCGCAGTCACAGAGTCGCAGTCGGATCGGTGCAAACCGTCTATCACGCAAAACTGTCTCCAGTGGTGTAGGAGGGACGGAGTACGTACCGTGGGAAGATTGTACCATATGGGAGGACGGAGGACGTACACGTGGGAGGGCGGAGGACGTGCCGTCGATTGAGGAGCGCATCGTCCAACGGGCATGGAAATTGAATGGTTCGCCTATCGGGGGGGGGGGGGGGGGAGAGGGGGACTGCATGGGAAAAATGTGGCGTAAAAATATCCGCCCTCCATTGAAGTCATCAGCCAATGGCGGCATCACTCCCTGTTTTTTTCACCAGCCAAAAATGACAAATCGGGACGGTAAGCGCAGTCGCGAAAGCCTCGTCCTACAACCGCAAGGCAGCGGGGGACGCCACGAGTCCGTACCCGTTCCGCCCTTAAAACGCGTCGGTATCCGAAAACAAAACACGCGCCGGCGTTTGCCAGGGGCCGGTCGGCGGCCTATTTCGCCTGAGCCGGCTGGTGGCGATGGCGGGTCGGTCCGCGCTGAGCGCTGGCGGTGCCTGCCCTCCCCGATCCCGAGTCGAGCGCCCTCTGACGTCAGTGCGCGTCAGCAGCGTCGGTTTTTAATCAGAGCGCGGGGCGCGCGGGTCTCCGGGCCGTGGCGGGTGGGTGTCCTTCCTTTATAGACACGAGAACGCCACCATAGTGACGCACAGCACTGGCGAAAATACCCACGCTCAGAAATTTAAACGTTCAACTTTGTTACCGAAAATGGCGGCAGAATTAACCTCACTGGTGCAGAAGACGGACGGTAGAAGTTCACCGGAGGAAAGGGCACCGTTGCGTTTGAAGGGATGGACGCAGCGCAGCCAATAGCGGGGGGCTTTCTGCTGGGGGGTAGGGAAGGGTGTAGTGGCAGAGAGGAGGACACACACGGATGCCGATACACAGGTGTGTCAGTGACAGGTCTGCCCACGAACAGGTCCATGGACTACATAGGTGACAGGTCTGCCTACCGGGAATGGATGCTGGCGGGAGGGAAGGCTCCGTTTGGTTTTGACTGTTGGGAAAGATCGGGCTTTATTAACAACAACATGACGACACAGCAACCGACAACGGAGCACTCATTGGTGGCAAACATGTACGTCGTTTGACAATCTACCTGTATCTTTTTCTCTCTAATGACGTATTTGTGTACTTGCATCAAACAAGTTTGTGTTGTCGCTTATCAGGTTTTGATGGAGTGGGGGCGGTTTTTCATCGCCATGTTTCGTATTATTATTACAACTGAGATTCATAGATCACACCCATTTGTTATCTGATGACAGCGTGTACCCGTTGCAAAGAATCTGAGTTTTACCAGATTTGTAGACGATCCTCGTAAGGCTCATCAGAACGGCTACCACTGGTGTATGCGATTTCGGTTATAACGCCCCGTCGAAGTAAAATGGGCACATGGTTCGGAATCACTTTGAATGAACCGGTTTCGAATGGCCAAACCTGCCGGTCGTCTCTCAGCTTGCAAGCTAAGTTAATCTTCAATATGCTGGTAAATTCAGCTGCCTTGTGAAACACACCGCCACCTTTTCGCTACAGCAGTTTGGCTGGTGCTGCCGCTTACGACGGCTCCCGAAGTGTTTGCTTGTCGGAGACTGTAGGAAACCCTGTCGCCTTAACTGTCATGGCAAGCCTGCAGGCAGCTGGTGCCACACCTCAACGTCAGCTGGCCGTGCTGAAACAGACCCGTGGCGTGTAGCAATGGATGATGATGATGATGATCATCATCATCCACCATAGCACGCACCCTTAAGGGTGCGTGCTATCTTTGGTAGGGTAATATTTTGTTATGTCCTGATTCGTGGCCAAATGTAGGAAACTGGGCGGAAGGGAAGTACATTGTTGTATTCCAGATACCAAATGACGCGTAACATGCCATGTTTTCTATGCAAAAAGATTCGTGTATTTTGTTTTTGTTTCTGTTAAACCGGTTTAATACAGCAGTTTTTCGAAGATATGGGTCAATCCTGGACGTCTTGGAAGATGGATTGTACGCTGACAGGTCGTTAGAGCCGAATCGGTCGGTGGCATGAACACGATCTGTACCTTACGGAGGGAGAGCAGTTATGATATTGGTTACAGCTCGTCTCCAATCTGAGATGGCAGAGCAATCTCTAAGCAGCATATAATGTTACGGTTCAGCTGTTGGTATGCTGTTGGATTTCAGGTGCTGCAGGACATGAAACATGATGATATCAAGAAGGTTGGAAAATGGAAAACACCAAAACTTAACAACTCAATTTAGGAAAAGCCTATCGATCTATCGGTACAGTGTGGGGGAACGCACGTGCGAAGGACGTCTCTGAGGCGGACATGTCAAATGGGCCAAGAGTGAAGGAAGAACTCCGCGTATGTTTGGAGCGGTGGGGAGCAGTGCGCGCAGTCAGCACTCGGTGGGACCACATCTGCGCGCGCCCTTGAGGGCTGGGGACTCACCGTGGCTCGTGCTGCGAGCGCCGTCCGGGGGCGGCCGCAGCCCGCCGCCATCTTGGCCGCCCCTGAGCGGCTATTGACGCGGCCCGATGACGTGCGCGGCCGTCATTACCGGCTCTGACGTGCAACGTACGAGCGGCGCCGCCCGAGAAGCCCCAGCTGCTCGCGTCGCGCCCGCCGCTACGACTATTCTGGGCGGCGGATCGGCGGCTGACGCGAGGCCGCGCCGTCCGGCGGCGGCCGTGACGGCGCCCGGGGGTGACGGGGACGGGGTGACGGGGACGGGGTCACGGGGGCAACCGGGTCAGGTCAGGGCTGACTCTGGCGCCGGCCGAACACAGTGCCGGGTCGGCCGGCTGAGGTTGGAACGGGTGGCTGGGTGCGAGCCGGGTCACTCAGAAGAAAGCTGAAGTGTTCCAGCTGTTTATTATTCGAGTGCTGCGTGCTGTACAGAAAAGAGAGACCGAGGAGCAAAAACTTCTCGGCTGTAAGTCGACACGAAAACAATTGTCCGCTACGGTCACCTTGGCGTCATTTGTGTCACTATGCCACAGCAATGCAACATGCTGATGTTATGTCGTGTGATAGTAATCTAATGTGCGATGCGTTGTTCCCGCATACGTGGGTCTCACCTTCTCTCAACGTCTGGAGAACGCGGGGTCGGGGTCTCTGGCATGATTGCAGGCATTGCAATAAGAACAATTTGGCCACTATGTTCTAATAATAACTACCCAATGGCAGGTGATATGAGATAGTGCATGAAGCAAACGCATCGTTTTCTTACCTGCTGTTCAGCTTGACCATGCCAACTGACATTGCTATTTTATTTAGTACGTTAGCTACAATAGAGCACGTAATAACACACACATCTTCGCACTGCTGTGTTTTGCGAACTGTCGTCCGCAGCCTGCCGTTCGCGGCCGGATGTCGTCTAAAACTGGGCCCGCCTGTGCCGGCAGACTGCGAGAGCCTGGTGCGCAAGATGCTGGTGGTGGAGCCGCAGCGACGGCTGACCATGCCGCAAGTGTTCCGCCACCGCTGGCTGCAGGCCGGCCCCACTGCCGCCCCGCCGCCGCCGCCGCCACCCCCACCGCCGCCGCCGCCGCCGCTGCCGCCAGTGACGCTGGCGACTGCGGCCTTGGCCGACGTCAACGAGCACGTGCTGCGCGTCATGCAGGGCCTGGGCATCGACACGTCCGTCACGCGCCAGGTGGGTGCGCCGGACGGGCCGGGCCTCGGCCGGCGGCACGCGCCCTTCGGCCGGCTGGAGGGACGGAGCGCTGCCGCGCTGTCGTCTCGGGCCGAGTCTTGTGACGCCAGCTTGTGCCCGCGCGCCGCCGCGCTGTCGACTGGCCACGACCGAAGCATTCTTAGAACGGCTGGCCCACATTAGAATTATTAGAACATGGCAGAACTACCATCTGCCAATGATATATTATATATATATATATATATATATATATATGTGTGTGTGTGTGTGTATATACATATATATATATATATATATATATATATATATATATATATATATATATATATATAGATAGATAGATAGATATAGATAGATATAGATATAGATGGATATAGATATTATATATATATATATATATATATATATATATATATATATATATATATATATATATATATATATATATAGATAGATAAATATATATATATATAGATATAGATATAGATATACATATATATATATAATGTATATATAGTTATATATAGTTATATTTATATTTATGTGTGAGGGTCACTGAGGAAAGTAAGCGCCGTGTCTCAGTGGCAAACGCTTGTGTCGTTATGAAATCCAGGAGCATATTTTCACAAAATGAGTTGGGTAGGCTGAACAAAAAACAAAGCTGACGGTGGTGATGCCCGTGTGCGCAGTCGGTGGCGCGGCGGGCCTACGACCACCACGCCGGTATCTACCTTCTGCTGGAGGAGCGGCTGCGCCTGCACCGCAGCAGTTACCCGTGTCCAGCGGCCTGTCTGCTGACGCCGCGCCGGCCGAGCAGCGTGGCCGAGCAGGCAGCGCGGCTCACGGCCGGACCCGAGGCCGAGCCGCCCGCCAGCGGCGCCGGTGCCAGCGCGGCAGGCGGCGGCGGCGGCGGAGCAGGCGGCGGCGCACCCTCCTTCGACGAGGGCGTCGAGGTGGACATGGTGGACGAGCTGCCGGCGGCGGCGGCGGCCGGCCGGCACCCACCGGTGGCGCGCAAGCCGTCTGATGGCGCGTCGGCCACCGAGTCGCCGTTCGGTTCCGTCACCAGCACCGAGTCCAACAACTTCGAGTCCTTCGACTCGCAAATGGAGCCGGACATGTTCAGCAGCTCGAGCTCGTGCTACCAGCCGGCACCGGCGCTGGCCAAGCCGCCATGCCGGCCGACTCTGGCGTGCCGACACAGCGTGCGTCACAACCCGCTGGAGCAGACGGCCACCGGACGCCGATCGCCCGTCAGCTTCCGCGAGGGTCGCCGCGCCTCCGACGGCCTGGTGGCCTCTCAGGTGAGCCCTCGAGCCGTGGAAGGCCTGGTGGAGATGAAGCCCACGCCCGGCCATCACCACCACTGATGCCTTGATGTGACGGTCAGAGGATGGTCAAGTTGGAGGGTTGCGTAGTAACGCGTGGAGTCCTGAAAGATGACTCAGATGCACTACTGTGGGTTCGTGGAGCATGGGTAGCATTTTGCGAAATGCCACTGGCTATGACTCTGAATGGTTTTTACTAAATTGGGAGCGAGGCGTCTTGCTTGTCATCGTGCAATTGTTGGAAGGCATATCACTGGTTACGTTCGTTTCAAGGTAGTGTGTATGCGAGGCGGGCGGTATTGGTTACTTGTGATCACCGTCGATGACTGCACGCGCTGATGTGAGCCGGCTCTTCTGCGTTCGCAGGGAATGGTAGCGTTCAACCACCGTCTGAACCAAGGTCAGAAAGCGGGCGGCTTCACCGAACTGAGCTGTCTGCAGCAGGAGCATGCTTGCCTGCGCGCGCAAGTCACTCGCCAGAGGCACGGACAGCTGAAGCGGCCGCCCAGGTACGCCCGGCCCCCCGTCGGCCGTCTCACGGCCACTGGCGTCCTCCTCTGTTCGCTGGGGATGTCGGCCGGTGTACTGGGCTGGGCTGGGCTGTGGCATTGGATGCGTCTACGGTGAATCCAACGTGGGGTCTTGAGAAAGGCAACAGCCAAACGCTGCTTCAGGCACACGAGATAAACCTAACGACCGAAAGGCTCGCTTTGTAATCCCGTGTTCGGACCATGGCCCGCTGCCAGTGATCGGCCGGTGGTCGTGGTGCCGCTGCTGCCGGCCGGCCTCCAGTGCGTCGGCGACAGCTGAGTGACTTGTGCCTGGTGCTGCAGGCCGGCTTCCAGTGCGTCGGTGACAGCTGAGTGACTAATATCCGGTGCTGCAGGCCGCGCTGCTGTTACAAGCCGGCGACGGCGGGCGGCGAGCTGCTGCAGCCGGAGCTGCACTTTCAGCCGATCGCCGAGGACGTCGGCACGGCCGACGGCTGGGACAACCTGCAGTACAGCCTGGCCAACTGCCAGATCACACCAAGGCTGGCGGCCGACAGCTGACCGGCCCGGCCGGCCGCCGGCACCCAGCCTTGACCGGCCCGGCCCGGCCGGGCACGGCCGGTCTGCAACTCAACGGACACAGATCGGCCCGATCGGTCGTCTGTTCTGCTGAGATCGGCTCGGTCAATGGTGCAGCAGTCAGCGGCGTTCCTTTTCGCCCGGCTGCGGAAGGGAGGGACCGCGCGATTCCCGTGCGGAGCGCGCCGGCGCTCGCCGCAGCTGCAGTGTACGTGTTCCTTCGCCGGCGCGGCTGGCCCCCGGGCTCCTGTAGTCAACCCAGCAATAACGCCACACAGCCGTCTGGCATGCGTGTAGAGATCGTTATTTTTTTGAGTCGCCGTGGCCTGCCACACATGTGCTGTATCGTTGTAATCCTGCGTTGTGTCGCGGACGAGGTGTTCCGCTGCCCGTCGTGTGGATGAGCAGCCGCGGCGCGTCCGGCTCTGATGACCCGGCGCGTGGTGCTGGTGTTCCCGTGTCCTCGGAGCCAGCGACTGGCGCCGTCAGGGCCCCCCCTGTTGCCGTACCTTGCCAGATGTGCGCGCTGGCGAGACCAAGACCGGCGCGTCTGTGGCGCGGCAGCCGCGTGCCGTCGGCGCGCGCGCGTGAGGAACTCTGCTGGTCCCTGTGACCCGCCGGCTCCGTACTTACGGCTACGCGCCCGCTTGTGCGCTGGGCGCTGGGTGCGGCTCGGAGATGATAACCAAATGGACGCGGTCGGCGCCCGAATCATGACAGTGCGCGAGTGGCGTCCGGTGGGGAGACGTCCCGCGCCGCCCTTGCGGCGCAGCGGGCCGCGTCCGGCCGCGGGCGTCCAGTGTAAACATCAGGCTTTTCTAGTCAGTTGAATGCGTGTCGTTTTGTACCGAGTTTTTTGTTGGGTGCAAGCCTGGGTGTTGAGTTTGGTTATCTCTCAGTTGTTGGTACTTCTAGTCGATATCGCTGACTGCAGTCTTTCATTTCGGCCTGTGGCGCGGCGGCTGCACTGGCCCCCATTCCTAGCGGTCGGCGGCAGACGGCGCCACTATCGAGGGGCGCCCACTTGTGCACCGCGCATCTGTAGACGCGCAGACACACACACACACACACACACCCATATATATATATATATATATATATATATATATATATATATATATATATATCCACGGAGTCGCATGCGCAAGTATCTATGTCCGGTTTTATTTGCGATGTGAGGAGATGGTTGCCAATACACCAAAAAGTATTGCTGTTTGCCTTACTGTTGTTCCGTGCGATGAACCGGACAGTCCAGCTCTTGTAATTATCTAATACTCAGTAGTTTTGTAACTGCAGTTTCGAATAGAAATTCAGAACAGCACGCTTACCAGCCTAGAACTGTGCCCATGCGCTGGGCATGAAGCCCGCACGCTCCTTACGCAAAAGTTCGTTACGCGTCTGCCGTCACTGAAGAGTAGTCCGATCGTCAGGCATGCATGGCCGTCGTCAACATCACCACTATTTAGCACAATCACGCACTACACGATCGAGAGCGTGAGAAAGTGTCGAAGGTGAATTTTGCCACCCAGCCTCTTGGAGAACTTCGGGAACGAACGCGGCTGCAACTCCATTACAGCAGCCATTGTCGAGCCCGCTGTGCAGGGCATCAAACGACGTCCGGGTATGGCAGTGAAGAAACGAAACACGGGCCTACCACCACGCTTTCAAGGGCTGCTGCCATGGACCGTGGTATCGGCTGTCCCAATGGCTGCTACCGAGTACCACGAACCACGAAGCCACCCGTTGTTTGCGCCATCGCTGAACAAGTGAATGGTCATGTTCACCAGTTACTCTGCATCAGAAATTACCGCCACCCTGCGGTGCATCTCAAACGAAGCAGGAAGCGGCGCTCACGGGACAAGCACGGGCCACCGGGATGATGGACGTCCATCACGCTTAACTCACGGCCCTGGCCACGTCGGCAGTACTGCAGCAACGTATCTCAACCTGGAGTGTATTGACAATGTCAGCTAATGTGACTACGCAGGTAGCGTAGTCCCACAATACGCCAGACGTGCTGCTGTGGGACCGTTAACTAAAATCAACTGCACTACATACTGAACAAACACGCCTACCACCACTGCAAGGCTGCCCGGCGTGCGGACAGTTCACACATCGGCGCGCCGCAGCACACGCCGCTACATATGAACATACGAACGTGAACGTTATTGTTCGCGGATGGGCAGCAGGGAACACGGCCAACACGGGCACGCCGCGGCCGCCGGCCGACACCACCGCACTCTTGGTCATGCAGTCCTATGGTACAGCAGCGTTCAAGGACGACACGCAACGGTCGACGCCGCGTCACGTGCTGACACCGCAGCACCACCGCAGTCTTCGTTTACGGGGTTCATGACCTCCGTATGCAGATGTCTGACACCGGTCATGACCTCCGTCTGTAGAGGTCTGGCACCGGTCATGACCTACGTCCGCAGAGGTCTGGCGCCAGACCGCATCACTCCGAGGGGTCGGCCCAAACCGCGGTCCCAGTGGGTCGGGGCTCGGCCGATTGGATGTCTGTCCGCGAGCCACCAGCGCCGCCCCGGGCCGCGGGCCCTCTGACGGAAAGCCGTCGTCCCGGCACCGTTCAGCTCTTCAGCCGCGCAGCTGCCGGACGTCCCGCAGCAGGGCGCGGCCGCAGCGGGGCACATCAGAACGCCGCGAGCCCCCCCCCCCCCATCCCCTTCAAAGTCGGGCGTGCACTCGCGACAGGTGCCGCTTCATCATCCAGCTGGTCTTGAAACTGGCGTCGCACTCAGGGCACGGGTGGTTCTTCTCGGTGGTGTGGCGGAACACCATGTGCTTGCCCAGGTCGCCCTTGGAATGGAAGGGCCGGGAGCAGATCTGGGGACAGGGGCGCCGACGGTGAGACACCTCAGAGACCAACACGGCAAGGCATCACCAGCTGCTTGTAGGCTAGAACGATATTCATATCGGTATTTCTCTAATCAATATGAGCGTCTACAGAAGTAAGCTAGGTGTTCATACCGTGGCATGACTTCCCCTCCCCCCCCCCCCCCCCCCCCCCCCCCCCCCCCCCCCTGTGTTAAATGTCATGTCGATCATATAGATAAAAGCGAATACAGTCGTGGATCGCCGGTTTATCGTCTATGACCACATCCGGAATATGTGGGACCGCCCAGCCACGCCACATCCCGCCGCCCGCAGCTAAAGCCTCTTGCGGTAGGAGGTGCGCTCGACCCAAACCCCGACCCCACACCCACGGGCATGTTCAGAGCCACGTCTGCACGCGACGTGACGAGCCGCCTAGCCCGGCAGGCCAGACGCTCACCTCGCAAATGAACTTGGGCTCCAGGTGAATCGCCACGTGTCTGGTGAGATTGCACTTCTCCGGGAACCGCTTCTCACAGTACGGACACGGTATCATGCGGTCCTTGTGGTTCTCCTGCATGTGACGGTGCAGCTTGATCTTGGTGCGGGCGATGTGCTTACAGTAGCGGCAGTTGAACGTCTCTGCCGAGTCGTGTGTTTGACGGTGGCCTGAAAACGGATGCGCCCGATGGGCGCGAGTCAAGATCCTTTGGGTGGCTTCTCACAGATTGCGTAGAACTTGCTTTTAATGCATCTCACCTGATCTCATCCGGGGCATGCAGCTTTGACACAAGATTAAGAGCGGTCGTTTACACGCACCAAAAAGCAAAATCCTAGTCGGGCATGTGTTGCGCAGCAAGATAATTCCCAGTCAGGACCTCAGGTCAAAGTGCACCCCGCCACATGACTCGGCACGCCGCCAATCACGCCGTCATCGCTTCCGCGTCCTCGCTTCCGCGTCCTCGCCGAGCACCGACTGAAGGCCGCAGGAGTGAAGACCATCCACCTTCGGCACAAACTGAGTCTGGCGCGACACAGAGCGGCGCTGACACCCGCGCCGCTCGCCTCCTGCAGCGACGCCACCTACGCCGTTAGCCCGCGGCGACCGCTGCGGTCCGCTCGGGCGGCGGGCGCGACGTCTACTCACTCTGCAGCTCCGGGAAGGAGGAGAAGGTGGCGTCGCACTCGTCGCAGAAGTAGCCGCCCTCGGCGCCCCAGCGGCGTCGCTTCAGACGTTTACGCGGCTTCCGTTCGATGATGGTGGTCACCTCGGATGTCTGCGGGCGGCAGGGGTCACAGGTCACGGCCAGGACCATCGCAGCCACTGCCTGGCCTCCCGCCGTCAAAAGGCCGCACGCAAAACCATACGTCGATCTGGAATAACAGCTTGGTGGTTGGTTCGGGGTGGGCGAAACAAGCTATTCTTTATATGTTGCCTTGACCCCATGATCCTCCACATTGCAGGACCGCGCAGGTAACGCGGAATCAATGCTTGCTACAAAACAATGAAAAGGTGAACTTAATCGGTTCATGGATACCATTAACTAGTGTGGGTAGTAATATCATGTTTGTATTCCGAGCACTTCTTTTTGAGAAATATTCGAATAGCTGACTATCCAAAGGATGACATGACCAAACCGTACGCATACAAGACAAGAAGTGAAAAGGCAACATACAAATTCTAAGAAATAGCGATGCAGATACATGCTGTGCGCGTGTACGGTACTTTGGCCTCAGGGGTCACCAAGCTATGGTAAGTGATGACTAGTCGCAAGAACACGGGCTGGATAATTCTCAATACGCTTAACACGCACCTGGGTGGCCGGTTAGATACCCTTCGCTCGGGTGGGGAGTCAATTTGATCCTCACCAATGAGATCTCAGGAACTGAGAGAGCTGGAGACACCAAATTTACAGGGCGTGTTGGCCTGTACCTAGTCTCACTTAGGTCAAAGTTTGAGGTTCCTAGGTCATGACCCTTGGGTCACATAAGGCCAAAAAAGTTTACTCTCCAGGTTGGTATCCCAGGTGCCCAGAAACCTAGATACCTGTTCAAGCAACCAGCCACAGGCTCATTTAAGGTCAGTGACCTTGTTTAACCTTTGAAAAGTCATGGTGACCAATATCCTGCGGGGCTGCATTGAGTTTTACATTTGAATAAGCAACAAAGATCGCGCTAGGCAGTATGTTCCTAAAAATAAAATGTTGGCTGAGGTCATTTCAGGTCAGTGATCTATTCTGACCTTTCAGAAGTCCATGGAAGATGTACTATACGGCTCCTGCGATCAATAAATTCGGAAACCAGAAACTAACCCATGAAGCAAGCCCTTGAGAAATAAAACAGATTGGTTTTGACCATCGTCTGACCTTCAAAACTGGCCGTAGAACAATGCAATTTATTCATTCAACTGTCGTGTTGCTCAAGAAAGTATCTCAAAGATGTATGACTTTGTCTAACACTCTGTTGTTGTATCAGATTGTACAATTCCCTCGAAATTGACGTTGTAGAATCCATGGCCTGACTTTGACCTGCCGTAGATCAGCCACCTTACAAGGTACATCTAAATTTTTAATACCAAACGATCCGCTATTCAGCCGTCTATAGCTATGCAACATTTTAAACCTTTCTAGAAAGGGTTTCATTCTGAAACCATTCTAGAAACCCTTCGGGAGGGGGTCAATTTGACCCCCCTCCCGAAGCGCGTGTGCGAGTTAAATCTGAAAGTGCGGAAATTGGTGCGTGAGTCGTGTGGCTCCTCAAGCTGCACGGGCAGCGCGCATGTCATGCGTAATGATAAGCGCAACTTTCGCATCTTTGACAACACACAACTTGCTCAAGGGCTTCCGTGCTCCATGACTTCGCGCATTAAAGTCCATTCATCCACAAACTTGGAGAGGGCGTCACAGCCAAGACAGGTATTTAACTTGCATCCAAGAGTTTAAATTCACGATCTGAGTCCCGCTGAAAATAGTTGAACTTCATTATAGCACGAGGTACTGGTTAAATGACGCTATCCTTCAGCCATTGGTCACATCTCAAAAAAAACACTGGGAACTCGAGCTCTTTCTACGTTATCTCAAGTATGAGTCAGAAATTCGAATGTTGACGTTGCTCGTCGAAAGATGGCACAAAAATTCGCACGAGGCCGGGGAAACTTATTTGCTGGAAGACGACTGCGGCAACTAGATCACCAACAGTTTTAAACTTCTGAGACCGTTCATCACGGCTGTCTCAGCTGCTGTATGCTTGCTTACATCTGATATTTCATAAGCGAGTGGTGCTAGTGCATATCTTTCAACAATCATTTCACTAAAAATAGCTTAGAGACATGGTCAAATATTTGAAACTGGCGACGGTATGGGCGATTATGGCATTACTACTTGCACCAGGACGTGCTGCCATCGACTATTGCGGTGGAGTGAAGTGTGACGAAGGGACTCACACCATGTGTAAGTTCGCCGACACGACACCGGGCCCCGAATGCAATAAGCTCGAAGGACAAGGCATGAACAAGAAACAGATTCAAGAGATGCTACACACGCATAACAGGTGGCGAGACTTCGTAGCCGCTGGGAGAGAAAAGCGAACGTCTGGCGGGCCATTGCCAACCGCCGCCAACATGGGCGTGCTGACCTGGGATGACGACATCGCCCAGGTCGCCCAGCGCTGGGCGCTGCAGTGTCATTTCGGACATGACAAATGTCGTAACATTCCGACCATGAGGGTGGGCCAGAACGTGGCGATGCGTGGCTCCAGCTTTAAGGGGCTGCAAAACCTCACCACTTTGGCATGGATGTGGTACAATGAGGAGGTGCATATGTTCAACGCCGCCACCATCAGCAGCTTTGTCTTCTCATCCAACACGGGTCACTTCTCTCAGTGGATTTGGGCTAATTCGTATAAGCTGGGGTGTGGCTACTCCGGGTACCAAGACGGCGGATTTCACGACCACTTCCTGGTCTGCAACTACGGCCCGGCAGGAAACGTCATGAGCACACCTGTGTACCAGCAGGGCAAGGTGTGCTCGGCCTGTCCGGAGGGTACCACCTGCGGGGGTGACGCGCGGTACCCGAACCTGTGCAGCGCCAAGGACGGCATCGTGCCGGAGTCGGCTGCTGGGCCCCTGACCGGCGGCAATCAGGATAATCCCATGATCATCGTCTCCCGAGCGGCCGCGCGTCCCGCCGCCATTCTCGGTCCGGTAGCCGCGCTCGGCTTCATCGTGGCCACCGTCGCATTGCGCACGATGTAAACGGGGCAGCCCATCAGAATAATGTAAATATGAGTCCCATATCTGGTCGTGCTCCTGGCTTCAAGGCATGTAACCCAGGTACATGGTACGTGAGATGGGGAACACGCCATGGTTGGTAAGAGCAAGCAACAACCCTTCGTATGACCGGTGTACGTTCATGTTTGATCGCAAATATAATGCATCCTGTCATCGGTTTACGCGTATTTACTAGGTTGACTATTTCCGGGCACCAGTGGTGCAGTAGGCAAGCAGTGCGTTCGGGAAACCGGAGGCATGTGGTTCGTTACCCCACGGTGCCCTCCACACACGCACGCACGCACGCACACACACGCACACGCACACGCACACGCACACGCACACACACACACACACACACACACGCACACACACAAGCAAACGTCGCAACGTTGTCTTGAAAACCGCTCGCGGCAGGTGCCATCAAATTGTGTTTAATTCAAACGTCACTACAGTGACGAAGTTGTGCTCCTTGCTTCACAATACGTCATATGATAGTCTGTCCCTGGTTGTGTAATTGCCATACGATAACCCCGTGTCATGCAATGGTCAGGTTAGGTGAGCTGAGTGTAGCACTGCCAGGGAGGATCCTTTCTTGCAGGACATCCTCACATTTAGGTTAAGCAGAAGCAGCATCGTTCAGTTTTGCCACAACCACTTCACAATCAAACCCTTGAATAACACTCCATCCCATACCGCTCCGCCCGGATTTCTTTTGCGTGAGGTCTTACTGCTGAAATGGTTTAAACGCAGATTTCCCAAAAATATATCGAATGCATCTCAAGCGGCCGCCCCCAGGGCACCACGGGCCTCGCGTCAGTGCACACCAGCCCGCTCTCGAATGCATCTTAACCGGCCGCCCCCAGGGCACCACGGGCCTCGTGCCAGCGTGCACCAGCCCGCTCTCGAATGCATCTTAACCGGCCGCCCCCAGGGCACCACGGGCCTCGTGCCAGTGCACACCAGCCCGCTCTCGAATGCATCTTAACCGGCCGCCCCCAGCGCACCACGGGCCTCGCGTCAGTGCACACCAGCCCGCTCTCGAATGCATCTTAACCGGCCGCCCCCAGCGCACCACGGGCCCCGTGCCAGCGTGCACCAGCCCGCTGTGCCGGTCCACCGCAACGTCCGGCGCGGAGGTCGGTCTGGAGCGGCGTGGGCGGAGCGCGGCCGCCGCCCGCCGCCAGCTCCCGAGGACGCCTCACCTGGATGTCGTCACTGAGCTGGACGCTGTAGGGCATGTGATCCAGCTCAACTAGCTGCTGGCCCGTGAAGCCCTCCTCCTGCTGCTCGTACAGGATGATGCTCTCGCCCAGCGAGTCGCTGAAGGCCACGTGACTGCCCTTGGGCAGACCGTCCGCCGAGTCCACTGCGCCAGGGGCGGCGGTCAGGCGTCATCCGCACACAGATGTGAGCCGTCGTCAGAACACGGACCCCGCACACCGATCACCGCCAGAAACGCCGAGTCGCGTCGCCGGTTTGACGGACAAATGACGAGACTGTGTGTGGCTGCTCGACAGATGTGCTATACTATGCCCTGGTGGACAGCTCTGTTATGCAGCCCTCCCACCCCTCCCCCCACCCCTCCTTTCTCTTAGGCAGTGGTTTGAGCAGAGCCAGCACGACCACCAGTGGCGTACACACTTTGAAGGCAGCAGACCGTGGTTTAGACAGCCACGGTCACACCAGACGACAGTTAACGGGCGGATGGCATTGTTGGAGTTCATTCGTACACTGATCTGAATAAGCTGACCTGCGAGGTAGTCATGTCTAGACCAGGATCGAATATAACTCTGCATGCATGATTCCCTTCCGATTTTAGGTGAATATTTTGAACATTCTTAATTTTTTAGTACGTATACTTCGCATTAATTCGTAAAGCACAGCAGACCGATTATGTCGTCCTGTGCCATCCTGCCATTCACTCTGTTCATCGCGCCACACATTTCCTATTCGCAAAAACAGCTGTGCGCGGCCCACTGACCGACTTCGATGCTGTAGGTCTCGCCGGTGTCGACGCCAGCGGCGTCCAGCACCTGGCAGATTTGCGCCGGCGCCAGCTCGCCGCCCTCCAGCAGGGGGTCGGGCGGTGGCGGCGGCGGCGCAGGCGGCGGCGCGCCCTCCTGGCTACTCCGGCTGTGCACCTCGATCGGGAACGGCATTTTGTACTTAAGCTTCACCTGGCGGCCGCACCGACGTCAGTGTCAGCGGTGCCGCGCTCGCGTGCCGCCCGGCCCGCCGACAGCGGCCGGGTCAGCCGGCGTCAGCGTCAGAAGTGTCGCGTTCGCGTGCCGCCCGGCCCGCCGGCAGCGGCCGGGTCAGCCGGCGTCAGCGTCAGCAGTGTCGCGCTCGCGTGCCGCCCGGCCCGCCGACAGCGGCCGGGTCAGCCGGCGTCAGCGTCGGTGGTGCCGCGCCCGCGTGCCGCTGAGACCGCAGCGAGCACCACCGATGCGACTGTACGCCGCCGACGCAACCACTGCTAGTGTCCTTAGGACGCCAGTAACATGATGTCATCACCAGAAGGACCACCACTACATAGACACGGCCACTATCTATCAGACCAGCATCGGCGCAGGCGCTACTGGCTGCCGCCGTCCGTCCGGCCTCAGTTAGCACGACCTCTGACAGTACAACCACTTGGTGGGATCAAAGTCGGCAGAACAATATGGCAAGACCAGCATCCAGCAGGTGAAGGGGTGCTTGAATGTGAACAATGCAACCAGGACAAAAAAGGGTCAAGCACCAGTTGGCTTTTGTGTGAACACTTCAACCATTTTGCAACCATTATGTATAAAATAACTCACATCAAATACCACTCACCTCATTCTCCAAGGCCATCAGCTTGATCTCACACTGGTCTATCTCATTGACGAGCTCAGCACACCCACTGCATATTTGGTAAGTGACACCTTCTTCATCTTTCCGAAATGATGATTGGATGATCTTACCTGTGTGCAAAGTCATTAGCTTTGTTCCACAATCACCACACAGCTCATGCCACTAATACACTGTGCATTATCCCTTCAGAACTTGGAATAACTGGGAAATTTCATCCACTGAGCATTCACCAGGCAGAACAGCATGATGAGACACTCTTTGGTCCAACACACATAACTTTTCATCTTAAAAAGCATAACCAAATAATTTTAAACAGAAGCCCTCTGTGGACAGAGCAAAACTCAAAATATACTGAGTTATACAACCATCTCTCTTTAAGTGTATAGAAAAGGCATTCAGTTATATCAGGCTATTCAAATGCAGCTTCAACCTACAATCCAAAACTTCACTGAATGCATGCAATGAGTTCACTGAATGCCAACATTTAAAAAAAAAAATGCACAGAAAGGAGAAGGCATGACACTTACCCAGCTTAACTGCCAGCAAAGTCTTGGAGAATGATGTTCTTGCTTCATGAATGTCTTGGGCATCTACTAATCCATGCTTACATATCATACAGACCTCCATGACAGTCTCAGATTTTATATCCACTTCAGTCATGTTTAATGCACGCCTCTGGCTTTATCTTGAAAATGTCTTGCAACACAAAGCTGCAATAAGTGTTGTTGGATCAAAAGAGACTATTTTTGTCATTATTTTATGACAAATGAAATATCATGTAAAGCATCACCATGTCCAACATATGGACAGAAACAGCTAGCAGAAAATATTCCTTGCAGGTAAAATCTTAAAATAATCATAATCTTTTAAAATGCTCCAAATCACAGTCATCAATGATAATATACTTATCAAAACACAAATATGCTCATGTATGCATTAAGTAGCAGCAAACACATATGCTCATAAATCATAGGCATGTGTGTCATTCCACACAGCTTTCTATGGTATAATATATATATATATATATATATATATATATATATACCATAAAAATATATGCATATATGTATATATATATACCATATAAATATATATTCCTATACAATTTAAGTGTTATTAGTAATCCCCATCAAATTATAGACTGGCCAACCCTGTCTACACTAGCCAACAGCTTTATCTCATACCACTCCTGTCACATTGCTTTAACCTGCATGTTTCACATACAGACATGTACAACTCAGCACACTCACCAAACACTTTGCATATTTTGTTCCAATCCAGCATGGCATGCCAGGCAGTGTCAACATTCAAGGAAAATGGTGGTAACTACAGAACTTACATCAAGGGCATGTTTCTGGCAGAATGATTTTCAGTATTTAGAGCTTGATAGTAAAACCATCCATGCTTCCCAGTTTACTTTCACAGGCACCAACATCTTGCAAACACTATACTTTTCTATGCAGCCCACCAGTCTACAATCCATGGCAGATTTGGATACATGAGAATGTATAGAGAATGGGATTTTAATGAGATCTTAATGAAGCTGAAGTGAAGTACAGCTTATAATCTTGGACATATTTTGAAAATTGGGTGACTACTATCAAAAAGGTTATGAAGACATCATGATGAGTTCTATGGCAAACAAAACCTGCAAGATCACAAAAATTGTTGCATGTAATGGTAAATAATTTAACAGGTAACAGTCTCACAAAACCTTTTCCAAATGGGGTAGTTTTCCATTTGGCTTTGGACAGGGCTCTGCCTGCTCCTATAATCTTTTTGGCGTGCCTGCCATGGTTTTATGTCCGGTCAGTCTAGAACATTGCTACCTTTCCAGCAAATTACGCCACCCGGGGCTACAAGACTGTCAATGAGTTATCACAGAGATCATCAATATTTCTATAAAAATGGCATAAAAATACATGATCATCTGAACCTGGAACATAGACCTGATCACAAAATGCACCAAACACAAAGCATGATCCCTTCTCTCTAATGCTAAGACTGACTTGAGTCAATCATCATAAGACCAAATGCTAACACTGACTGCATCCCTGACATCCATTTGGCTTCTTGCCACCACAAACAAGAAGCACAACAAATCTTTAAAAACAAGATTTGAAGGCACCCCATATGACACCTATATATTTTGCAGCCAGAGTACAA